ATCTTTGTCATATTCTGTCCTTTCTCTCTGATTTCTCCCTCAACTCACTGGTTGGTCAGGAAAAGTTGTGTAATTCCCATTCTTAAGTGTTTTCAGTTTTTCTTCTGCTACTGATTTCAAGTTTCATTCTATTGTGGTCAGAACAGTAAATTGGTGTAATTTCTATTTTCTTAAGTTTAAGGTTTGTTTTGTGACTTAATATGTCATTTATTCTGGGAAATACTCCTTGTGTTCTTGAGAAGAATGTGTATTCTGCCACTGTTGGTGCAACGTTCTATATATGTTTTTAGGCTCATCTTAAATATTGTATTGTTGAAGTCCTCTGTTTCCTTACCTTCAGTCTGATTGTTCTGTTTATTATTGAAAGTGGGTTATTAAAATCGAGTATTATTGTGCTGTCTATTTCACCTTACAGCCTGTCAATCTTGACATTATATTTTTGGATGTTCAGATGCTGGGTACATATATATGTTTATAATTGTTTTAACTTCCTGATCAATTGAACTTTTGATCGTTCTATAATGTCCTTCTTTATCTAGTATTATAGTTTTTCACTTAATCTACTTTGCTGATATAAGTATGTTCTCTTTTGGTTACCATTTGCATGGAGAATCTTTTTTCTAGCCTTTTACTTTTAGCCGGTCTGTGTCTTTGCATCTACAAGTCTCATATCAATAAATAACATATAGATGGATTTTGTCATTTTTGATTCACTAAGGCATGCTGTCTTAATGGGGGAGTTTAATCCTTCACATGTAAGGTAATTATTGACAGGGAAGGACTTACTATTGCCATTTTGTTCATTATTTTTGTCTTTCTTGTGCTTATTCCTTTTTTTCTTCTCTGGCTTTTCTCCTCTGAGATAATTGATTATTTTGAAGTGATATACTTTGTTTCCTTTCTTGTTTTCTTTCAAATGTCTTTTAGGAGATTTTATTTGTGGTCACCATGAGGCTTACATAAAACATAGTTAGAACAATTTGTTTTAGTTGACAAGCACTTAACTTTAATCATATACAAAAACTCTGGACTCTTCTTCCTTCACGTACATTATGTTATTGATGTCAAAAATTACGTCTTTTTGTATTGCATGCCAATTTACATTGTTGTAGATTTTTTGTACTTTTGTCTTTTGAATTCAACACCAGAGTTAAAAATGACTTTTATACCACAATTATCATTTTCTGTACTTGTGTGTTTATTTGCTTACACCACTGAACTTTATGTTTTCTATGTTTTTGTATTCCTCTGTATTCTTTCATTTCAACTGTAACTCCATTTCGTACTTCTTGTAAGGCAGGTCTAGTGGTAATTAATTCTCTCAGCTTTTGTTTATCTCAGGAAATCTTTATTTTTTTCCTTCATGTTTGAAGACTGGTTTTGGCAAATAAAACATTTTTAAGGTTTACTTATTACTCATGTAAGAGCAAGATACAGAAAGAGAGAAAGAGAGAGAGAGGGAGAGGCATCTTCAAGAGCGTCCCGCACTTTCCTCCCTCTCTCCCTAGTTCTCCCAGGCAGCCACAACCACAGGTGCAGGTGTCCAGAATATACAGGTCAACTGGGGAACCAAACCCATGATCTCCCACATGGGCACAGAATCAGTTGAGCAGGACATCACCACTGTGTCACTGAGCCAGTTCTGAAGATAGTATTCTTGATTGGCAGGTTTTATTTTTTTTCTTTAAGCACTTTGAATACATCATCCCACTCCCTTCTGGCTTACAAGTTTCTGCTGAAAATTTATTTCTCTTCGTTATAATCTTTGCTCCTCTGAGTGGATATTTTCAAATGACCTACCTTTGAATTCACTGTCTGTTTGATTAAATCTGCTTTTGATTCCCTTTAGTGAATTTTTCAGTTCAATTGTTCTTCAATTCTAAAATTTCTGTTTGGGTCCTTCTCTCTCTCTCCCTCTCTCTCTCTCTCTCTCTCTCTCTCCTTCTCTCTCTCTCTCTCTCTCTTTCCTGCTTACTTGGTTGCTTGCTTCTTTCTTTTTCTTTTCTTTTGCCAGGACATGTATGCACTTGCCAGAGAGGGAAGGAGAGAGAGAGAGAATATATATACCTCAAATGGGGTGTGGTGGGTGCCATAATCCTCCTTCCTCCATTTTTTTTTTTTGGTGGTGTTGTTATTATTGTTATTTTTATCCTAACAAGGTTTGGGGACACATACATATATGCACAGCATGCTTTTTAAGTTTCAGGTTACCAGACCTGGAATTTGAACTGCAGCTATGTGGGACCCAGCTTTGCTATGCACTGTGTTTAACCACTGCACTGTGGAGCCAGCTGTGTTTAGTTCTTTCTGAAAAATATTTTTATATCTGTGTTGATAATCTCTGTTTGTTTCTGAATTATTTTCTTGAGCTCAGTGATCATATTTATTATGGCTATTTTGAATTCTTTGTTACATAATCCAAATATCTACATCTCTCTAGGGTTGGTTTGCTTCTCTATTTTGATATGTTAGTTGGACTATGATTCACTGGTTCTTCCTATGTTTTGTTACTTTGTGTTGTGATCAATGAATTTTTTTAAAACAGTCTATTCTCACAGTCTTTATGAACTAGACTTGTACAAGGAAAGAACTTTAATACTTTGGTTAGAAATCCTGGGGGCCCTCTGAAACCCTTTTTATAAGTGCATCCTCTGTTCTTATGTTTGTAAATTCCCAAGTAGAGAGATTTTACTGGTTTCTTTTTTCAGGAACTCAAAATACCTTGCTCCTTTGGTGTCTATCTTGATACTTCAGGTTTCTCTGAAGCTTCTATAAGGTGCCCAGCTCCTTCTGTTTTCAGGTATCTAGAATAAGCTAAGTCCTATCAATGTTTCCACTTGGGCAAGACAGAAACCCAGCACCTTCAGCATGTCCTAAAAAGCTAGAATGTTGGACATATGTTCCTCTCTCCCTTCTCCCTGAGGAAGAGGCTAACAAGCTATGCAAGCCTGTGTTTGCCATGTCATACACCCTCTGGTGCAGCAGCAAAAGGTCCAGCTCTTTTTGTTCTCAGCGGTCCCCAGGCATCTAGGGTAAGCCAGGCTTTGTCGGTACTCCAAGACAGCAAAAGAGAAACCAGTCCTTCAGGCAACTCTCCCAAAAGCTGGAATATTGGATGAATACTCCAGTTTTTTTTTCTCCTTCTCTAGGAAGAAGCTAGGAGTTCAAAGTCTTTTTTTTCTCTGCTGAGTTGGAAAGACAGTCAATTGCAAGTGAAAACATGCTAGTTCAAACTATCAACTTTGTTCTCAGCAGTCCCCAGTCTGGTGCCCTTTCCTGTTAGAATTTAGAGCCTGAAAGACAGAAGTCAGTCCCATGGGATAGCCCCCTCAAAAGTCCGGATGTTGCATGTATGTTCCAATCTTCTCTCACACTCCCCATGCAGAAGTTAGAAGCTGGAGGTTTCCTCCTGATCATATACACTGCCAAGGGCAGGGACTATGTCAAGTGAATGCCATACATTTCCCTGCCAGTCTCTTGTAGCCTGTGTTGCATTTACTTGGGACACATGAGCCTTCTAACTGGTTTCTGGATTTCTCACAAAGGGAGGTGGTCAATATATTGTTGAATCCATGTGTCCAAGGGAAAGGAGGCTCTTGGGGTTTCCTATTTTGTAATCTTGCTGACATACCCAACATAAATTCGTAAAGTCATTTTAGACACTTTTATACAAACAAACATTACTATATCATTTGATGTTTGACTATAAAAATAATTGACCTATATAGAAAGTTGGTCCTTTAAAGTGTTAAGCTTATTGAATCATTTATTTTTTTCCTTTTAGCTATAAAGCATTTTCTTTTTCCTGTTGGCTTACGTATGCTGGAAAGAAGCTTTGCCAAGTGAGAAACTACAGAAATATTCCAGTCAAAAAATTATTTTTTTTCTTGGCCAACTGGAATGAAACGTAAGTTTAATTATTATCCTGACTGAATCATTTATGTAATAAAGGTTAGCTTCCTTCTTTTTGTAAGCAAGGGTTGTGATTGAAAAATTGTTGCGAGTTGGTTTGATTCAGGGGGGTGATGAATATGCTAGTACTAATAGATAACTAACTATTTAATTCAACAGATTAAAAGTCCATTTAATAACCTAGACAAGTGTCCAATGCGCATTATTGAACTGAGGAAAAAAGGAAATTGGAAAAAGAAGAAGCGTTATTAATCATTCACACACTGTAGATATCAGGAATACTCTCTATTTTAGGCAGCCATTAGGGGACGTTCAGCTACAACAAAGAAGAGAAAAATCACCTACTAATATATGTAATCTCCATTTTTTTCTAATTTCTCACACAAGCCAAATACAAATTTTTTGAAACAACTAAGTTTTCTGACAATAAATATCTATATATTATGTAAACTTTTACCTAATTTAACTAGCTCCTACTTCTCTCTTTGACAGAGATTTATTAAATCAAGAAAGAGAAGTATCTTCTTTTTCAAAAAAAAAAAAATCAAAGAGATATTTGCTATAGGATGTGTGTGTCCTTGACAGAGAGAGACAGAAAGTGAGAAATTACTGCCCGGGGTGGGACAGAAGGCCATGCTATGATTTATTCTCTGGGGATTTTGGCCAGGCACATACATGTGCCTATCATGAGTTTTAAGCTGCCAGATCCAGGACTCAACCACTCAAGAGTCCAGCAACGTAACCATTACACCATCTGCTGGTCCCAAGAGTGTGAAGTATCTTCTTGATGCTATCCCTGCCCTCCTCTCCTTTGGCCTCCTACCGCAATTATGCTGTTTACTCACCCTTTCAGGGGGCTCATAATTCCCCCATCTATGATTTGCTTATGGTTACTGATGCCTTTCCTGGCCACTTCTACGTGCCTGTGACATTTCTCCACTGACCTCTTCTCATGCCTTTCTCTGAGATTTCTACTGTTTCACTGATACCAATATTCTTCCCACTTCAAGTAGAAAACTACCCAGCCCACTGTCCCTCAGCTCTTTCAGAAGGTCTGGCTTTCTTGGAAGATAAGTCATCTCCCCGTATCATGCTCACCATTGATAAAAATGTGTCAGGATTTCTGGATGTCAGAGGATGGTGTTAAACAACACCATTCATCCCATTCTTAGTGTTACCACAATCAGTGGAGAGCATACCCTGAAATGAGGTGTGTGCCTTTCAGTTCTCACAGACTTCATGGTCCCTCTTCTACCAAACCACGTCCTCCTCCTTCTAAGACTGTGAAGAATTCTACGACCCCTTCTTTGATTAGGCTTCTTAATTTCTTTGATTGAAGACCTGATGTTCAATTACAGTATCACCTTCCCTTGCACAGAAGGAAGTCTGCCTGTAAAATTCCTCAGTGGCTCTCCAATTATTCGAAGGTAAAGTAGAAATCATTTAGGATAGCATAAAGCTCACTCCTGTACCTTTATCTCTAGAACCAGCTCCACTCCCTGCCCTGCACCTAGTCACTGCCTAACTGTGAACTGAGAAATCACATTTCTGCTAGGGGTTCTCCATGTGTCAGGAACTCAGTGCTTCCACTTGCCTACCTTGAGATCACCTAATTACTTTTCAGATCCATCTTCTACCTCCTCTATCAACCCTTTCTACCTTATAGGTACAACTGGCCCCTTTTCTTTGGTTGCTTGTTCTGAACTCTGAATTTCTCTCTAAATTACCTTACTGAATGTTTTCATTTGTATTTCTGTCTGTTCCCACCAAATAATTAAAAGATTTTTATTTGCTTTTTAAAATTTTTTATTTACTCTCTAGAAGCTAAAGCAGCACCAGACAGAATAAGAGTCTAGAAAGTGTGGGACGAATCAATGAATTTTATGTAATAAGTAACTTAATTTTTTTTTGAGAGGTTTTTGCCATAGGGCATGTGTGTTCACCCAAAAGACAGAGAGAGAGAAATAAAAAGTGAGAAATCACCCCCCAGGGGGTATGGCCACACCACAATCCCTTCTCCTCTGTTCCCTCCTGGTCTTGGGCACACACACACACGTGCCTGGTGTGAGTTTAAGCCACCGGGTCCGGAACTTGAACTGTAGTCGACTACATGGGAATCCAGCAACATAGCCATTATTCCATCTACTGGTCTCCAGTAACTTAATTTTTTAAAGAGATTTTGGTCATAAGGTGTGCATGCTTGCTGGAGAGACAAAATGAGATGGAGATCCAGAAACTGAGAAATCACCCCCATCCCAGAGGGATAGCCACATCGCAATCCCTTTTCCTCTTGGGATCTTGGGCATGCATGCACATGCACTTGGCATAAGGTTTAAGCTACCTTGTTTGGGACTCAAACCACGGTTAACTGCATGGGAGTCCAGTAACATAACCATTATACCATCTGCTTGTCCCACAAATAACTTCTTAAAAATGTTACCAGCCCATACAATCACTAAAATTATTCTTCTGACTTAACTAAAATTATTCTCAGTTATTGTAAAATATCAGAGTTATTTTCTATTCATACCATCATGTAGATAAGTCAAGAAAAAATACAATTCTAAAGTCAATTTCAATTTTAAAATCTCAAACTTAAAATATTAGTATTTTGGAAAAACTGCATTGATATATATTTTCTCTTTTATCATGGCTGCTCAAGAATTAACTTCTCTGTAAAAGTTCCTTTGATTTCCTCAATAGAGTTAGAAACTTCAAACTAGAATTATTTTTCATTTCATTTCCATTAAAAATATTTACTTTACCATTTTGCTAGATACCTATAGTGTTATTTACATATTTTATTAATATTTACCCATTCCATTTTAATTGAATATACATTTCTTTGTTGGACTTTAAACTGAAGGATAAAAATGTTGCTTAATAATATTTAACATAGATTTTGACAACTTATATTCTGAGCACCATAGTACACCCTTAACTTACATGATCTCTTCTCAATTTCACAACAAAAATACGAAGCAGATATTGTCACCCCATTTACGGATGTCTATGAAGCTTAATTTACTTGGCCCCTGTTCCACCACCTGACAATGGCATAACTAGCATTCAAACTCACTCTCAATCCTAAACTGATATTTTTAACTATGACTTAATTATGGTTCCTTATGTCATATAAATCTGAGAAAGAACATGTATAGCCCACAAATAGTGCTCACATGTTAAATTCCAAATTTTTAAAAAAAGACAACAAACAAACCTACCTGTACTCCATATCATTCTCCTGCCAGTAGCCATCCTATTTTCTTCTACTACTTGAAGCAAAATCTTCTAAAGAATTATCTACACGACTTTTCTTCAGTTTTTCCCTCTTCTCTACAACATAGTCCTATTAGGCTCTCATCACCTCTGCTCCACTGAAATTGCCCATCGAGGTCACCAGTGACCTGCACTACGACACCCAATGTTTGTTTCTCTGTTCTCACCTTCGTGATCTGGTGAGAACATTGGCACTGTTGATCTCACCTCCCATCTTGAAATGTACTCTCCTCTTGGCTTTCTCCTACTTCACTCCCTGTCCCTTCTTCATCTTCCTTTCTTCTCCCACATTGATCACACTCTTAGCCCTTAATCCTCTTCTCTGTTCTTTGGTTTCCCCCTATAGTCATCCACCTTTAAATACCATTTATATGACAGCAGTTCCCAAGTTTATATAACCAACCCAAGTATCAGTCACAAATTCCACACTTAGATCCTTACGTAAAATGAGCATGTCTAAAACGAGCTTCCTGATCTTACCTTCCAAACCGCTCCATTCACGAATGGCCACTCTGGATACTCATTTCTAGTTCTCGTTCAGGTCAGAATTCTTAGCTTGAATCGCTTTTCTCTCAGACCGCATGACCAGGGAATCCTTTTGACCTTCTCCTTAAACTATACTTGGAATGTTATTTCTCTTCATCTTTACTTGTCTAAGTGACTATCTTCTCTTCTGTCAGTTACCACAGTAACCTTAAAATGGCTGCTCCTCTTACACATTGATAGTTCTCCCTCCATAGCTAAAGTGATATCCAGGTCATGGCCTGCTTCCTCTTAAAAATAATAAAATAAAGAAGGATTTATACTAGAATATAGCTGCTAAGTTCTGTGTGATTATTCCCTTTGCTCAGAATGAAGTTATTTATTTATTTATTTATTTTGAGAGGTTTTTGCTATAGGGCATGTGCACTTACCACAAAGACAGAGAGACAGAGAAATACAAAGAAAGAAATCACCCCCCAGGGGGGATGGCCACGCCGCAATCCCTTCTCCTCCATTCTCCTTTCAGGATCTTGGGCACACATGCACACTCCCCCGGCATGAGTTCAAGCCACCAGGTCCAGGACTTGAACTTCGGTCAACTGCATGGGAGTTCAGTGACATAGCCATTATGCTAACTGCTGGTCCCAATTAAGTTATTTCTTAACTATACCTGTGTTTATACTCCTGTAGCAGCCAAGGATGTTTGGCCTCATACATGTAGAAAACAATCTATACCTGAAATGACTCTCTATTTAACTCACACGGATTAAAGTTCTTACAGCGATCCATTTTTTAGTCTAATGTTTTATAGCAATATTAATAGAAAACTTTAAAAAATGTAGCTTTTGTAATCTTCCATGCTCATGATTAAAACTTATTCTGGATTTTAGAAAATTATCTTGTGTAGGAGAAAACAAATTATGAAAAATGTTAGTGATTATTAGTTTGAAATAATTTACTAAGGCAAACATTCAGTTAAATCTTGATTTCTGTGCCTTGAATAAAAATAATATGACTCCATTTATTCAATCATCTATCTTAAAGAATTTTTCTTCCCTTTTTTGGTTGTCTGAAAGTTTATTACTTTTCATTTTAAATAGACATGCAAAAGTTAAAAATATATATTTTCTAGTGAATATAAGGTTATTCAGACTTTTCTTCTTTTTTCTTTTCTTCACCCCCCCCATAGGGCACATGCACATGCCTCCAGAGAGAAGCAGAGAGGAAAAGTAAGATAGCACCCACTGGGGTGATATCACATGCCATGATCCTTCTCCTCCCCTTTCCTCCCAGGATTTTGGGCATATACATGCTCCCAGCCTGCTTTTCAAGCTGTGGGGTCTGGAACTGGAACAGCAGAGTCATGGGATCAAATATAATTCTGATCCCAGCCATGTGGGATCCAGCACCTTAACCACAATGCCACCTGCTGGTCCTCTTCTTGATATTAAAATCTATATGTATTTTAAAAATGAATAAATAGCTATTTAGAAAGCTTGTATCCCTACCCTAGAAGAATTTATCTTTTCAAAGAATGTATTAATAATAATCGTAGAATGGAAATTGTCCATAACTATCTGTTGTAACTTATCTAATTTTCATCATTCTTAATATGAAAAACTCACTGACAAGTGAAGTTACATATAAAGAAGTAAGACCTAATGGGAAAAAAGAGCATTCTAGATAATGTGAAAATAAAGTGAAATTACAAGCTTCTATCTCAGCACAAAAATATGAAACCTTAATGGATAGTCAATTATAACTAACAGAAAGAACATTCAAGAAATTAATATGCATTCCACATGATCATCAACATTTTATGTTGAGTTTCAGAGCTTCTTTTAGGCTAAGAAATTTTTTCTACATTATCTTGAATGGCTATTATGAATATGAAAGAATATGAAAGAAAAGAAATAAAAGATGTACTTTTAGAGACATAAATGTGTAACAATTTAATGTTTTAATCATCTAAATTTTGTCAATATTTTTAAACAATTATTTTCTTTATTTTATCCATCATTATTATTTTTAATTTGACCAGAGAAAGACACAGAGAGAGAGAAAGCAAGAAAGCAAGCCACTAGGTCTGGGACTTGAATAGTGGTCAGCCATGAGGGAGTCCATTGCCTTTAACCACCACGCCACCTGCCGGTCCCAACTTTGCCAATCTTTTTTTTTGGAGATGTTTACGTTATTGGGTGTGTGCACTCTCCAAAAAGACAGAAAAAGACATAGAGACAGAAAGCAAGAAATCCACCCCCCAGGGGGGATGGCCATACCGCAATCCCTTTTCCTCCATTCTCCTCTCGGGATCTTGGGCACACACACACACACACACACACACCCGGCGTGAGTTTAAGCCACCAGGTCAGAGACTCAAACCGTGGTCGACTGCATGGGAGTCTAGTGACATAGCCATTACATTAATTGCTGGTCCCCCAATCTTTTAAAAGTAGATTTTCCTTAGGCTACTCTTCATTTCCTTCCCTATTTTTGGATAGAACTACATTTCATGTGTCTACCAAGGGATATGTTTTTTTGTAAAGCCATGTAATAGGTGCACAATAGCTAATATACATGATTATATTATTGATTGAATAAATAAATATAATTCTGATATCCAGCTTACCATTGGTTATATATTGTGTTATATAATCATAGTTCCATTTCACGTATATGGAAAAATAAGGCTTAGACAGGCTAAATGCATTGCTCCTCATTAGTCAGTAGGGCCTGTTTTTGAATGTAGATACATCCAAATTCAAAACTTATACTAATCCTTGCCACATGCAACCTTTGTATTGACATCTTACCATTATTACTAAATAAATGACATCATGCCCTAGATGACACACGCCTATTTCAACTTTCTCTTTTTCCTATGTTCCTTTACAGTTAAATTTATTTTCTATATTATTAGCCATACACTAGAATTCATACTTAACTTTTCACCATTCTATTCTGTTATTATGCTGTTGGTTAAGTACCAGTTATCTATTTTACCTCTAAAATAGCTCTTCTGTTTTCTACACTGTTTGCCATTCTGTCATCACCCTGTATCTGGGCCAATTATCTTAGGGAACACCATGTTGAGAAGAGAAATTCACTTCCTCAAAATCAGTTATGGTCACTGAGCTGAATTAACTTCCCCTCATCCCCAAGGCTGGATGCTGCATAGGCAAAAATGGGTGTCACTAGTGTGTTATTTGAAACCCTGATTAATGACTGCACCAGGATCCAGGTAAGAAAGTCAATTCATAATGCAAGAGGATGCTCAATATTAACTGAGGTCTCAGTTCATCAAACCTCAGTCAGTGCTTTCCATTTGGACAGTAGGCTTTGATTGTGATCAGGCCTCTTATAATCACCTACTGCGTAACCAGTTTGACATCAAAGTTCAACTGGGAATCACAAGGCCAAAATGGATTCTGTTTATACTTCTCACATCTAACACTTGCAGGTTATTATGTAATACTAGCTGCCCATCACTCTTCCAGTCACTTTTCTTTTTCTTCTTATGCCTTAATGATTCAGTTCCTGTAAATCTTTCTGTCTGCTTAGCTGTTTCAGCTTTCCCATTTCTCCATCTTCCAGTGAACCAAATTCCTCCTTACAGAATACCTTTTATATCTCCTTATCTCATAAATTGTTCTTTCCTAAACACCATGCTTCTCTTGAGGCTTTGATCATTTTTATACAACTGAGATGACTCTAGAAAGATACTTATCTCCCTGCCATTAATAGGGACCTCAGATCACAATCTCAACTTTCTGTCAAAGCCCCTTCTTTTTAGACACTCATGCCACCTACATATACTGTTCAGTCTTACAGTATCATTTATAACTTTCTAGACACTCCCTTCTCTATCTCAGTGGGTCATCACTCAAAGTCAAGTTTTTCTCACCATTAATAATTCTGTTTATTCTTATCCACTTTCTGTCAATATCTATGATCCATCCAGAATTTGAGCTCAGAGGATATTATGCACTAATTGTATGTGCATTACATTTCAGTGATAATCCCCTGAAATCTTAGGATCTCATCATTACTTATAAAGTTCCAAATTAAACATTATAAATAACTCTTTGAACCTTTAACTCCCTCTTTCATGTATTTCCTTTATCTTTACGAAAAAGTTAAAATTCCGTCGCTTGGCATGCTGAGTACATGAGCATTCTGGCAAGCATCTATCTTTGTTTGCATCCTCCACAATTTCCCTATCAACTTCCCCTTATCTTTTACTTTAACCACAGTGAAACATTCACCTTCTCTCAGACATGTCTAATCTTTTGGGGCATATATGCCTTTGCCCATACATTTTTCTTTTTATGAAATATTCTTTTCCAATACCCATTTCATTACAGCTAGCTTACTCTTTGATACCTATTAGAGTAGTTCCCTACCTCCTCCACCTCCCTAAGTAAATGCTTAAGTTATTGCAATTTTGAAAAATAAACCTACAAGTTAATCATAAGGAGTATTTCCTATTGACTGAGTAGTGGATTTTATTATTTTATGTACTTTTGCTAAATTTCCATTCTTACAAAATTGAACAAAAATATTTAAAAGAATCCCTTAATCCAAATAGTTAAATAATTTTGCTCTGGACCATTACATTTTAAGAAATGATACATAAAAATATCACTGATAACTAGGTACATAATGTTACTTCTTTCTTTTTCTTTTATTTTCAGTATTAATTTTCCTCTTGAAATAAAGTCACTTCCAAGGGAATCTATGCTCACTATAAAGTTGTTTGGGATTGTCTGTGCAACTAACAGTGCAAATTTACTGGGCTGGACTTGCCTTCCATTGTTCCCAAAAGAGTAAGTATATCATTTGTGAATAATAAAGTTCTCATTTTAATAAAACCTCCTTAGAACTAAATATCTTGCAGCATATTGGATAATAAGAAAATCAGGAAGACATGTTATTCTAAGATTGAGGTAGCTCAGTATAAATCATGATTATTGAAAGTAGAACTGAAAAGCAAACATGTAGAAATGGCTTTAGAAATAGACCTTATGCTCAACTTGTCAGCTGGCTCATTTACAATGAAAAGGTCTTGGCATGACCAATCACAATTACTTTTCCTTCTCTGACCAGCCAATTTCTCTGAAATTAGGCACTCAAAATGATTTGGATTAATAATGTCATTTAGAAAGTACAAATCGTGCAATTCTGGCTGAGGTAAAATTATACAATGTAACTAGTTTACTGACTTTTTATTGCCAAGAAGTATTTGATAACTTTATGGTGATATTTTTCTGAAAAATAAATCAACTATGAGTTGAGATATTCTCTTGAAACTACAGGCCATTGCAAATTAAATGTTGAAGTAAGCGTAAGTTTTGAGAAGTAACAGTGCTTAGAACATTTGATAAAATCAACAGCATGATTTTCTATGTTAAGGAAAAATGTTTCAAAAAGTAAGCTTAATTATTCTTCACATGGCAAGACTTGCTTTAGAATAAAATGATATAATTCAGAGCCTTCAATAAATTAGAGTCGGTATTGTTATAGTAATATTGTTATATTTTTTCTCCCGCTGTTTTAAAAAGATTTCGTATTATAAAAATGTTCTGGATACATGTTCATGCGTGCCCAAAATCCTGAGAGGAGAATGGAGGAGAAGGAATTGTGGTGTGATCGCCTCCCTGGGGAGTTACTTTTTCACTCTCTGTCTCTCTCTGGCAAGTGAACATGCTATATACCAAATTAAAAAGAAAAAAAAAGATTAAAAATGTTAAGAAAAGAAGATTTAAAATGTTAAGAATATGCTTCATCAGTTTTTAATTTCCATACCTAATCAATATAAATAAGTTATCGTCAAAGCCACTATAATAAATGTTTGAAATCTTGCATTAGTTCTGATCTGAGTGCACGCAAGTGTGTGTAAGTGTATATTGCTCTATTGTTTGTTTTCATGCTTATCCTTTTCCGCTTAGTCTATTCCTCAAGGACAGAGAATGTATTTATCTTTGTAAAATCCATCATCTAGCATAGCGACTCAGATAAATAGATAATCAGTAGAGTTTTGTTTACTTAATTGAGTTGGGAGGGGGGAAAAAAGTCAATCTCCATAGGAGATTTAGAATGAAAAAAAGATTTCAAAAGTCCACAAGAAACAGTTTAGTCCTAAAAGAAAATCTACTGCAGTTGGCAGACTATTCAAAAATCTGATTTGTGTGCTATGAACTTTCATTACTTTCTCACTAGGAGCAGCTGCACAGGTGTCCAGCCTTCTCAAGAGTAGTTTCTTTAAAGTTTCAACTGCAGTAATTGTAAAAACTAGCATTTTTGTAGAGTAAAATTTCTAGCTAGTCACTGAAAACAAAAGCTCTCTCCCATCATTGAACACACCACTTTGCACATAATGATCAATAAACATTAATTATATACGTTGGATTTAAGAAGAAGACATTAGGACTGTTTTGTTTTACTTCAAACTAATCTCCAATACGTTTTAGTGACAGTAAAACACTGACTGTAATTTTGGCACAAATCACTTAGCGATCAGTTTATAGGTGAGTGATCATAGAAGGTGGCCATCTGTGAGTGATGACATCTGGGACTGATCCAAAGCCATGTTTTCCGAAGGGAGTGTGTCAAAATTGTGGATGATGAAACAACAGAAAGCACCACATACTTCAAATAAGCATTTCTAAACATATTTCCGAGATACTGTTTCTCATAAAAAGCAGAAAATCTACTTCTGGGCTAACAATTCTTAAACTCCAGATTAAAAAAAAATTAAAAATCCATTATTTAGGGCAGTTGGGGAGATATGATGACTTCTGCTTTACTCATTGCTTCAAGTGAGAGATTCTAACCCAATTTGTTTGATGCAGATATTTCCAGATCACAGCAAATAGGTGCCTAAATTCCAGTTTTTTTTATAGAGTGACCCTTGCCCATAAACATCTGGGATTGAATCTATCTTTTATTACAATTTGAATTTCCATAGCTAGCCATCTAGCCATGTGGTAGTTTAATGACCACTTATGTCATTATTTTTTCTGACACTCACCTGAGGTAACTTCAAAATATTTGTGGAAAAAATGGAATTAAGTATAAGTCAAAAAATTTTAAATCCATGCATAGTTTTTTTATAATACTAATTCCTATAAACTTTTTAAAGACCTTCCCCCTCGTGTAGCCTGAAAATATGCAGAATTAAGGACTTTTTATCTCTTCAGGATTCCTAGAAGTGTATTTTAGAAGAACCAAGTGTGATTAAATTCAGATAAACCAGTTATGGTTTCCTTAATAATATTTAAGTATAAAAATAAACTTCTACATTTTCAGGCATGCCAACTCACCATCAATTCTACTAAAAAAATAAATATAGAATCCAAAGGTAACAGTTTCCCATAGAATTTTATAATCGTCTTTCTGCAGACGAGATTTGACATCTGTGTTCACCGTGTCTCCACATTGCAGCAGTAAAGTGTTATCCTCACTGCAACAGTATCTGTGAGCTCTCTTCCTATTTAACTTCAAAACTAATTGGGGGCAGGAACCAGCAGTTAGCGTAATGACTATGTCGCTGGACTCCCACGTAGTCAACCGCGGTTTGCGTCCTGGACCCTATGGCTTAAAACTCAGGCCGGGCGCGTGTGCGTGCATGCCCAAGATCCCAAGAGAACGGAGGAGAAGGGATTGCAGTGTGAGCATCCTCCCTGTGGGGTGATTTCTCGCTTTCTGTCTCTATGTCTCTCTCTGTCTGTCTGGCGAGTGCATGCACCCTATAGCAAAAAACCTCTCAAAAAAAAAAAAAAAAAAAAACTAATTGGAGGCCAGATCATGGCACAGGAGTAAAAATTCAACACACTGCAAGGTGATCTCATGAGAGAAGGTACTTGGTTTCAAGTCTGTAGACCTCCCTGAGTAGACCTGGCACAGCCCATAATCCAGGGCTGGCTGAGGAGAGGGGTGGATCACAGTGTTAAGACTGTTGAGGAAGCTGCTTTTCTGTCTGTCTCTTTATGTCTCTCTTGCTCATGTAAGAAATAAATACACTTTAAAAATAAATAAATAACCTAAAAAATATATAGCACAGTAGCCACTTAGCATTTCTAAAATGTGATGAACTACTTCAACACAGAGATTCTCAACCCTGATGGCACAGTAGAATTTTTCAGGAGAGATGTTAAAGTAAATGAAAAGCTCACATACCCTCAAAGAGTCTAATTTAATTGGTCTGTAGTCTGGCCAGAGCATCAGTATTTTCAAGGCTTCAAGATGAGTTAAAGGCTGAGAAAATAATGAGACTCTTTTGCAGAATTTCAAAAGAGGCCTAAAAATAAATCATAATCTTGAAACAATTTGATTCCTTAGACAATTGTCTGAGTAGCCAACCTTGACTCCACTTTAGCCAATTATTTTAGATATCTCTTTAAAATCAAATAACAAAAAAGTGTGGATGAGATTTCTTTATTGTTCTTCCTTCCTGCCCAAGAGAGACCTTTAGAGCTCATTAGTCTAAATACCTCATTTGCAGATAAAGAATTCTATGGTGAAGGAAGGTTAAAGGACTTGTTATAGGTCACCAGACCACTTAGAAACAGATCAAGAACTATAATACAGGTCTGCCTCTTCTCCACTTGTTTACCACCCAAAGCTGCCTCCCTTCCTGCACCCTATTCCATAAACATACGGTGGAAATTTCATCTCCCTTAAAGAGGTTACTGTTTAGGGAACCAGCAGTTAGCGTAATGGCTATGTCGCTGGACTCCCACGTAGTCGACCGCTGTTCGTGTCCCGGACCCGGTGGCTTAAAACTCACGCCGGGCACATGTGCGTGTATGGCCAAGATCCCGAGAGGAGAATGGAGGAGAAGGGATTGCGGCGTGACCATCCCCCCTGAGGGGTGATTTCTCACTTTCTGTCTCTATGTCTCTCTCTGTCTGTCTGGCGAGCGCATGCGCCCTACAGTGAAAATCTCTCCAAAAAAAAAAAAAAAAAGAGGTTACTGTTTAGGTTTTGCCTGGGCTCTGCTCTTAGATGGGAAACCAATTAGATCTATTAGAGTCAGCACCTCAAATTTTTATTTTATTTTATTTTATTTTTTATTACTATTTTTAATACCAGAGGGCATGTGTGCATGAGAAAGAGAAAGAGAGAGAAAGCATCCTCCAATGAGGCCTGGTCAACAGAAACCCTTTTTCCTACATTTCTCCTTCCCCTCAGGATCCTGGACACATGCACATACACTGGTGTATTGCTGCTGGTGCCAGCATTTGAAAGGCAGCTGACCATGTAGGATCTGCCTTCTCCCGCATAATCTTAACCAGAGCACAGTGGAGCTAGCCTCCAAAGAATCTCATAACATCAAATCTTCTAGTCATGTTGGCTTCCCAGTTCTGAAGTCTTTTGTATTTCCTGGTTACGGAATGCCAGTAGTGGATGGATAGAATCCTACAGCTAAAATTGATGATGAATATAGTCAAGTGTTAATTTAATTGCTTAAGGAAACAAGCATCTGGAGATGGCAAATCATCCCATGTTCTTCTGGTGTCACAAAGATTGAGTTGTTTTTCTGATCAACTAATATGTAAAATATTTAAATTGAAAAGATCCTTATGATTATTCCAGATCAATTTTTTTTTTTGAGAGGTTTTTTCGCTATAGGGCGCGTGCACTCACCAGACAGACAGAGAGAGACATAGAGACAGAAAGCGAGAAATCACCCCCCAGGGGGGATGGTCACACCACAATCCCTTCTCCTCCATTCTCCTCTTGGGATCTTGGGCACACACGCACACGCGCCCGGCGTGAGTTCTAAGCCACCGGGTCTGGGACGCGAACTGCAGTCGACTACGTG